GGGTGTTGGGTTGGGTTTTTTTTAGTTTTGTAATATGTATTTATTTATAGTAAATACCTAAAACATGCTTTTAGGCCACTGCGGTCTCCACAGCGTCAGGCACACACTTCTGTACAATTCCCTTGAGGAAAAAGAAGAAAATTGTCTTCTTCCTCTTCAAATCCTCTTCCAAGCGAGGACTGCTCACTCTGACCACTCGTTATGTGCAGGAGTGGTGCACAACTTCCTGTGCAGAAATGTCATCCCAAATGACAATCACAGAATACCACCGAGATATCTTCAGGGAGGAGATTGGACTACAATGCTGGGCACAATCCCAGAATTTCAGGAAAAGGAATTATTTTAGGACCAGAAAATTCTTGCCTAAGTTTCTCATTGTATATTCATTATCATGATGTGAAACACCCTCCTCTAAATCAGTCTAACTTTTAATTGAATCCAGGACTCAGCCTAGGAAGTACTCGCTACGGCTCTTGTGCCCAAGACCTTTAGTCCAGCTGGAGGAGTGGGAGAGGAGAGCGCTATCGCTGCCTGTACAATGAGAAATGAGTTAAAACTTTAAAGTTCTAGAAGAGCAGAAAGTCCTCATGGAGCAGGGCTTACAAGGGAGAAGGATGTTTTGATTCCTCTGAAGTGTCTTGTTAATAAATTACTGGAGTATTTCTAGATGAGGATCCTACTGTTCTCACAAGTGCCACTCTAAAATTAATTGTATAAAGCTGCACACAAAAAACGGTGCTTCGTTTGTAAGCATGTGGAAGATGTCATCTCCTGTTCTGTAAATGTAAGGCAAAGGATGTCCTTCTGCCCACTTGGAGTGTGACTACTTTGACTTTCATGAGTTTGGGTGAAGTGTCCTAAAGTCCTAAAGTTCTGCTATTTTATAAAAATACCTTGGGAAACGTCGTTGGATGTCCAGCAGCCTGTGAGATTTCACTTGGGGTTCTTGGGAGAGCTTCTGCAGGAATACAGGTAAAAGACATCTGCCCACTATTTTAGCTGTAAATACAGGATTTTTGTTAACTAGATGCTTTTGCCATCTAATTCTTGTTCTTGAGTAAAACTTGTTATAAATAAGTTTGTTTTTAAAAAAAAAAATGTGTTGCTTTTGATAGCATCCTTCAGTGAAGGCTTCTGAGTGAGCAGACGAGGGCAGAACAGTGGATATTTCAGCCCTGTTCAAAAGAGTGAGAGGTGGGAGCACTTGCTGAGTTGCTTCCTGAGTTCAGAAATACCTTTCTTGAGGGCAAAAAAAATATTTTCTGGATGAAGAAAGCAGGCAAGTACAATGAAAACAGTAGCCTGGGAAACCTGACTGGCTTTGCTTGTCTGACTAAGCAAATTGTTCTTTGCTTGGAACTTCCACCTTCCCAGGGCTTGCTGAAGTAACACCCAATGTCTGTCTGCAGCCGAGACCCTGTGGCCAACCAGTTGGATCTCCCATTCCTAATGACCAGGAACAGAATGTTTTCTGCAACTAGAGCTTAATGAACCAGTTCTGTTAACAACATGACTGATAGAGAGTATTGATGCGAGAGAAAACAATGTATTCTGTTTGCCTTTATTTATTTCTAACATCTGTGACTTTGGTATTTAATATCCCACCAAACTGCTGCTATGCCAAAAAGCTTTTGATTTGAACTATGGGAATTGATTTTTAAACTGCCAGTAAATAGAGAAACGATGGTAACATTCTCTGTTACCCATTAATCATTGATGTCAAAGTCACTAATTTGAACTCTGGTTTGTGTCAACATCTTGGATGCTTTAGCATTGAAGCCCCGTTGAGCTGCCCACTGACACTGCGTTATTTACTGATACTGCCCTGTAGCCATTAAATCTGTCTGCAGCTCTCAGTGCTGTCTGGATTTAATGCACTTCTTCCTGCGATGGGAGGGTTGTGCTGTATTCACAGCCTTTCACTTTTTTTTTTTTTTTTTGTGAAGGAGGAAATTGCAATTGTTTTAATTCCAGAATGTGGAGCGTTGGGATAAATAATGAACTGAGGTGAAGGAAAAAAAAAATCAATGCAAGAAGGTAAACATTATCACGAGAAATGTGGTGTTGTCCTGGAATTTGCACTAGCTTTTTTCAAACACGCAGCTGCCTAAATAAAGAAGTGTCCTCATGGCAGGATTAACTGATCGGGTTTGCTGATGGATTTGTTGCTATAGTTCCCATAAGAATTTGTCCTGGCATGGAGGCTTGGTTAAAAAAAAAAAACAACAACCAAAAAAAAACCCATTAAAGAAAGCTTCCTGCAGCGTGGAGTCCCTGGTGTGTGGGTTGGGGTGAGAGACATGAGCCACACTGGGTACCTGCCACACTTTGTGTGCCCCCAAGCTGGTTTCTGTGCCAGCCTACGTGGGAGTGACGGGGAGGATCACACGGATCTGCCTTCGGAGAGATGGACGGGCAGACGGACGGGCTCCTCCAGCACCCACCCAGCTGCCCGGGGCAGCACGGGGATGGGGTTTAATCCAGGAGTGCTCTGCCTTGGAACCCGACTCGGTTTCCTTTCTCACAGTTCAGCCTTGTCAATGTTAATGGTAATTTGTAGGCTTTGGGAGAATTGGGTTTTATTTTTAGAGGCATGAACTTGGGTGGCATTTGCAGAAGTACTCGATACTGGGCTGACTTGGCTGCTGCTGACGACAGGGGTGTTCTGCCACTGATGTTAGAGGCCACGGAGTTAGGACAGGATATAATGCTTCAGAAAACACAGTTCTTCCTCTATAGAGCTTTTTTTATTTAAAAAAAATTGCTTTATATACAATTTTTTAATTTCTGTGCTTTGTTGGGAATTCTTTTTTATGGTGGAACATACCCACAATTACTGGTGTAACTGGAAATCCATTCAACTAGGGACTGACAAATCTGTGAGCGCCCTCTCGTGGGGTCTGGGTGTATTACAGCGTCTGCCATCCTCTTACCCCAAACTTCTCTGTTTTTCTGTGCAGATCATTTCCAGATTTTAATGTATTAAATTAAAGAAGAGCTCTTGAAGCCTCGAAAAGGTCACAAAATTCACAGAAGTCTAGACCAGAAAATTAAAGTATCATTCATACACAATATTTGTTTAAAGGTGTGGAATAAGTGTCAAATTCACATCAAGAACTTGAAATTTATGCTGGTTTGTGTCAGGCTTTTATCCAGCATAATACCTTGTATTTTAGACAACAGTATTGAAAAATCAGTGGATAGTTTTTCTCTTTTAAAAGATACAGGTAATATGGAATAATTTATGTAACTTTGGGAGATTGTGAATTGAACATATTTAGTGTATGTTCTATTTATTATTATTATTATTTTATTTTATTTTAGCATCTCTGTCCAAAAAAAATAGTAATTATTTGCTGCTTGGCCTCCGCTGTAGTTCACTGTTGCAACAGCAGAGTTACCTGCTTTCCACAATTATTTTTCCCTGCTTTCCACAATTATTTTTCCCTGCTTTCACAATTATTTTTCCCTGCTTTCCACAATTATTTTCCCTGCTTTCCACAATTATTTTTCCATGCTTTCCACAGTTATTATTCTGATGATTACGTACATCCACAGCAGAGTGCCTTTGAATGAAACTAACTGTACTAGGTTACTTTTTTGTGCCTTCATAAAAATTCCAGGAAGCTTGAACAGCAGTTGCAGTTTTTCCAGAGTGACTGATGGTTCTGAGCTTTAGGAAGGAATTTATCCCGAGGATTTCTTTCTGTAGATAAATAAGTTTCCTGTGCAGTGTCCTCGAGCGCTGAGCATCCTTTTACCTTTCCTCATTCATGCTCACAATTGGAAGTCCTCTCCTTGAAGCAGTGTCTCCGTTACGCTGCTCTCCAGAGCTTTTCCCCTCGGCTCCTTCAGTCCTTCGCAGGTTTGGGCCGTTGTTTTAGCAGCAGCTTGAGGCGAGAACCGTTCCTTCCCGCGCGCCTTGTGCGCAGCCAACTGGGTCGCTGTGTGTGCGACGGCGGGAGGCGAGCGGAGGAGCGTGTCGGCTGCCAGCTGGCCTCCGCCGTGCTCATCCCAACTGCTTCTCCGGCTCTGCTGCCACCCAGGCTGCCAGCTCCCGGCCCACGCTCCTCTTCCCCTTCCCTAATGAGAGGGAACAGAGACTGATTGCAACCGGGAACTTCTGTTGGGGTGGTTGGAACTGGGAGAACTGGTTTTGATTGCAGTATAATTGTCTGGAGAGTTGGTTGGGGTTGTTCAGCCTGGAGAAGAGAAGGCTCCGGGGAGATCTTATAGCGGCCTCCCAGCACCTGAAGGGGCTCCAGGAAGGTGGGAAGGGACTTTGGCCAAGGGCAGGGAGTGACAGAACAAGGGGTGATGGCTTGAAAGTGGCAGAGGGGAGATGGAGCTGAGATGTGAGGAAGAAATTCTTTGGTGTGAGGGTGGTGAGACAGTGTCCCAGGTTGGCCAGAGAAGCTGTGGCTGCTCCTCCCTGGAAGTGTTGAAGGCCAGGCTGGATGAGGCTTTGAGCAACCTGGTCTAGTGGAAGGTGTCCCTGCTGCTGGCAGGGGGGTTGGGACTGGATGAGCTTTAAGGTCCCTTCCAACCCAAAGCAGCCTGGGATTCTGTGATGTTAAGACAGTGTGGACTTGCATGGTCTCGGGGCGACTGGTCTGTTAGCAGGGCATCAGTAAAAAAAAGTAATTTTATTTAACTTGTCAAAGCTTCCCCTCTCCCCTCCTGCTCTAAGGCTAAATATTTATGAATGGAGAGATGTTGTTCCTACGCTTCCCTTCCAGGTCAGTGAAATTTGGGGTTCACTCTGTTTTCTCAAATCTCGTGGCCCCACATGCTGTCCTTCCCTTTGCTCACAGCCTCTGCCGGAGCAAACAACCAGCCATCCTTCAGCAAAGGTGGATTATTTCCTGAGATTGCCAACAGATGTGATTGCTCATACAGCCCAAGCGAAGGATTTGAAGTTGTATTATTACAGCTAAATTAGACGTATGAAGCGATGTGCTGAAATTAACGCCTGGATCTGTGATTTCCTTTGTTCCAGAATGGCGTTCTTCCTGGAGGAGGTGATGACTTGCACCAAGCGTCTCCTGGAGGTGATATCTGGCTGGCTGCCTCGACATTTTTTCGGTGCAATCCTGGTTTCTCTCCCAGCTCTTGCAGTTTTTTCACACTTCACCTCTGATTTTGAAACAAATATACATGTAAGTTGTCGAACTCTGTTTCATAACCTGATGGTTTGGATCTAACAAAGCTTGTTGCTTGCCTGCTGTCTTCCCTCACCTCCCTCGTGTTTCACATCTGTTTGATACAGATCTCGGAGAGGGAGAGGGCCTTTGTGTGTGATGAAATGTCTGGTGTGTTATGTAAATACAATCACTTGCTTCTTTGAAAACTCTCATAGAAAAGAGGAGAGGGATACATATAAATGCCTGCCTACATCCTTTTTTGTTGTTGTGATTTCCTTGGACCGAACACTTCTGCAGGTGTTTGTTCTAGATAATGCAAGTGGTGTCTCTCTGGCTTTTCATGACATTCATTCTGGTTTTGATTTCGAGTTTGTTATTGGAGATGCTGTGTATGCTTCAAAACTTTGCATGTGTCTTGGTGAATCTCAACCACGGGAACAGCATTAGCAGTGGATGTTTTTTCTTTGCAGAGTTAGATGGAGGAACTCAAAGGAGAGAGTTAGGTGGAAGAACTCAAAGGAGAGAGTTAGGTGGAGGAACTCAAAGGAGAGAGTTAGATGGAGGAACTCAAAGGAGAGAGTTAGGTGGAGGAACTCAAAGGAGAGAGTTAGGTGGAGGAACTCAAAGGAGAGAGTTAG